AACACCTGTCATTACCCTGTTGATCCCCACCACCCACCACCCACCAAAACTGCTAAATTGCCAGCTAGTGGGTGGTATCACCAAGGTGGGCAAGAACTGGTACAGAAAGTGATAACTACTTTGGTGCAGTCCTATAAAACCATTGGCACGAACTGGTAAGGTGATAACTACTTGGTACAGTCAGTTCTACAAAACCAAAGGTTTTCAACCTCCTCTAAAAAATATGCCTAAGGGGTTAATTTCCTTTTCCCTCATTCTCTCTTCTCTTCCTTTCTTTTAAATATACTAAATGGGTGGTAGATGGGTGTCCTGGTCGTGTGGTTTGCCCCTTCTTTCTTATAAAAAAATCTATCGTCCTTATCTCTCCTCTTTCTTATTTCTGTGTTTGTTACTCTCTTGTAACACATAATCTAATCTTCGGCTTTTAAATGACCTAATTGTGTAGCAGGTGCCGTAAAACTTTATCAAAACTAAACCTACAAAGTTCTCTATCCTAGACAGCGTGCCCCAATACCCAGCTGAGGCAAAGAATCTTTGGCTGAGGGACAGTTCTATATAATTTGGCCTTGTTACTATGGAGATGTTTGGCTTGCTGCTATGGAAATGTTTGGCTTGTTACTATGAAGATGTTTGGCTTGTTGCTATGGATATGTTTGGCTTGTGGCTATGGAAACGTTTGGCTTGTTGCTATGGAGATGTTTGGCTTGTGGCTATGGATATGTTTGGCTTGTAGCTATGGGGATGTTTGGCTTGTTTATATGGAGATGTTTGGCTTGTGGCTATGGAGATGTTTGGCTTGTTGCTATGGAAATGTTTGGCTTGTTGCTATGGGGTTGTTTGGCTTGTTGATATGGAGATATTCATTTCACACTTGGTCAACACACAGGCAAAGAATGTTTGAAATCTATGTGGATTTTCAATGTTGTCCTTTGCTTTCAGGCATTTCTTCCAATAAGCATGAAGCTTTGAGAGAGGGGGTGGGGGTAGGGTGGTGGTGGGAGCCCAAATTTCTTCACCTCAAACCCTATTATGGATTAGCATTGCATTGGTTTACATTGACGAATAATTGGTGTTCATTTTTTCCACTAAAAGAACTTTCTTTTGATAAAACTAAAAATTCTCCTTTACTTGGACTGTAAGAGAAAAAGTCCGCATAACTAAATCTTTTACGTTTTATAAGTAGTGTCTTCAGTGAAACGACAAATGCAGTTTTTGGGACACCTGAATAGACATAAGGGTCTTGAACATCTAGCTCTCACTGGCAAAATTGAGGGCAAGCGAGGCAGGGGTAGGCCCAGAACAACGTACTTAGGGAACCTAAACAAATGGGTAACAGGGAAAGATCAGGGAAACGTAACTTTTCTGAGAGCATCCGAGCAAAGGAATGAATGGAAAATCATGGTCGCCGATGTCTGTCGCAGATCTAGCACTGGATGATGATGATGATGATGATGATGTCTTCAGTGAAAGAAATACCAGTTTTGTTAGAGAAAAGAAAGTATAGCAACACAATGGTCATCTTTTTTGAGAGGGGGGGGGGGGATCGCAAGAAAAAAAGTATGGCTGATACAGATAGACAAAAACAACAGAGGACAAAGAGGTACGACAACCCATTAAAATGACATCAAGGAAATGTAAACTGCCCAGAGAGAGCCTTGCATTTGTAAAGAATTATGCATGATTTGCCACAAAAGTGGATATTTTCAGAACATGTTCCATCTGTAGCCAGGACAAAAGGAAGGTCACGGACAAACAAGGTGAAACAAAAACGTTTAAGAATTTTGGGACATCCCAAAAGAAGAAATGTCGTTCGTTTAACCAAGATCCTTAACAAAAATATTTTTACAACATTCCAGAAAAAGAAAAAAAACCCAAACCATTCAACGTTTATAGAAAACAATTCACTTACAATAATTTCGCCAACTGTACACTTCTATCGGCAACCACCAGCCGAAGGAAATAGTCTCCTGAAGGATAGGCCCGTCCCATTAACGTGGGGAAATCAAACGGAACAAGCTGAAAAAGAACATAACAGAGAACAGAGTAACCTGACCATCAATGATTTATTTATAGAGGCACCAGCCATCCATGTCCAGGTGCTGTTTTAGCCTTAGATAACAGAGTACTGAAGGAAAACTAGGACCTGACATCAAAACGTTCTGTCATTGTAGACTGTTGGAAGGAACCATTTTTCTGCCAAAGCCTAATGGAAAATGTACGTCACCACTAGTAGCTTGTTAGTTTTATTTGATAGCCCTCTCGATGGGGAAAACTCCAATATGTTATTCTAAATTTCCTGTTGGAGTAACTGTGGGGAAAACATTCTAAAAACTGTCTGACTTTAACCATGTATGTGTGTGTACATAGGTTTGAGAATAGTATTCAAAAAAAAAGTAATTTTGTTCCCATTATCAACCAGAATTGCTCAAAAAGTTGAGCCAGGCGCTCTCAAATCGTAATTATGATAAAAATAATAGCAACATTATTAATAATTATAACAATTGTATTTATGTAGCGCTCTGCACCCGCTCTACATGTTCTATTCACTTTACAACTGTCAGGTATTTAGTTTAATTTTAGTAAGACTTTTACGGCACTTGCAACACAATAAGGTCATATAAGTGCCGAAGATTAGAGGTGTTACAAGAGAGTAACAAACACAAAAAAGGAGGAGGAGAGAGAAGGACGATAGATGTTTGATAGAAAAGAAGGAGCAGACCACACCAGAGCACCCGCCAACCACCCACACTGTCAGGTATGTAACAAGCATGATTTCAGACCCCCAAAAATGTTTGATCTTCTTTGGTGGATACACGTTTAGTAGTTCAACACCGAAAGTTCCACCAGCTCCTACATAGTACTACAGTCCAGTAATATAGGACAACTTGGACCTACATAATACCACAGTCCAGTACTATAGGGCAACTCAGATCTACATTATACCACAGTCCAGTAATATAGGCCAGTTCTGATATAGATATATATATAATTCTACAATCCAGTAATATAGGCCAGTTCTGATAGATATATAGATATATATAATTCTACAATCCAGTAATATAGGACAACTCTGATCGACATAATACCACAATCCAGTACTATAAAAAACAACTCTGATCTACCTCATGACCCTCCTTTTCCAGCGCAGACTTTGCCTCCATCACAGCACGGACATTTGAAGGCTGACACTTGCTGACCCCGTCAAAAGTGAAGTAGCCGATGCGGAGACGATCAGTTTTTTCAAACTCCTGCACAAAGAAGAAGCCCTCATAAAAAGTTTCAAACTGCCAGATCCATGTGCCATGAGCACTAACCTACAGATACCAGAGTGTGAAAACAACGAGCAGGAAGGAACAAGCAACGAAAGCAACGAACGGCTGATAGGCGACTAGCCTGACCACAGCCGTATACTTCATACTACTACTACTATAAAGCAACCATGGTTTAAGCTTAATGTGACCTTTTTCCAAGCAAAAACCTGGGTATCATTTTGTCGCAAACACAATGAATGATGAAATCAGCAACAAAAGCAGGTCAACAGTCACTGTATCTGCGTCTGTATTGGCACTATGGTTTTAGCCAAAATCTGAAAAGTGTCTCTGAATAAATAATGTTATTTGAAACACTTAGAGTTCGCCTTTCCGGTCGTCTCATTTTTTTGTGTTTAATGAAATGGTACACATTTTTGGTCACTGTATAGCTTTAAAGCCCCTAACAACACTATATTTATGAGGCGAGACATGCCACTGACGATTCGAACGAGGACCACCCTCTCCGGTGTCCGATATGATTCCACCTGAGGACGCCATGTAGGATGAAGAATTTCTCTCTCTCACACTCTCTCTCTCTCCCTCTGTCTCTTTCTCTCTGTCTCTTTCTCTCTCTCTCTCTCTCTCTCTC